GAGAGAAATCGTAAGTGTGTGTTTAAAGACTAACAGAGAAACAGATCAACTGTCATAACAAAAAGAAGATGTGTGCGATGATGTCTTGATGACAAATGACTTTGTCACTCCTGAAGGATGCTGGTCGGGGCTCCCTGGGACGGGCCACCTAACAACAGGAAAGGAGATGTGTATAAATGCATTGTGGGAGAGGAGAAGAACTCCAGCTGCAGCAAAGTGAATCTAGGTGAGAGAAACATCCTTAACAAATCAACTCACATCAGGTTTAGATATGTTACCCAGTGAACTGGTCTGTCTCTCTATCTCAGGTGAGACTGCTCTCCAGAATGTCTCTAAAAACCTGAGGAATTCTCACCTGGGAATGACGCTCACTCCAGACTCACCTGATGGCTTCCTGGTATGTGGTTTCAACACTGAGAAACAAGACTTTTTATTTCTGCTATGTCGTCATTTTGGTTGTGTGCTGTAGCCTGAAGGGATGTGGTGAGACCCGTTTGTGTTTGTTTGACAGAATTTGAATGAATCAGGGCTGTGTTTTTATTTTACTTTGGAAGTGACCATGTGCAGTTTACTCATCCCCCATTTCCTGGATACCGTTTACAAAGTCAGACACACTGATTAATTATTGATTATAGAATACAAACATCTTTGTTTGTGGATTATATTATACATCCAGTATATTATACTCGTAATACATGCATATTATGGGACAAATTTAACTCAAATCTCAAGTCTGTCAAGAAGCAAATTAGGGGTACAATGACCAAATGATTTTTTTTATCCAAAAGGTCAAAGGTCAACTATGACATTATAACGTCCTGGAACGTGCCTAGCTAATTGTGAAGTGCCTGTTGTATAAAAATACACTTTTATATACCTTTTAACCTTTTATATAATTCCTTCACCATATTATATGAGTCTGGACAAACATGGACGTAAACTGCAACTATTTTCCTGTGTCTTTTTATATCTATATGTGTGTGTGTGTGTGTGTGTTTTGAGCAAGTGTGCTTGAGTGTTTTGGTGTCTGCCAGGTTTTTACTGCTGCTTCGGGTGTGGAGTCGTGCACAGTTCACCAACGCCATCCAGCTTAGCCCACTTTAGTGTGTGTGTGTGTTTATCTTAACCCCAGTGGTCAGGTCTATAACAGGATCGGAATGCGTCTCCGGCCCTTTGTTAATGACAGACCGACCAAAAGCCATAGCACCTCTCTCGCTTTTCTCCGTCCTCTCCCTCCTTCCTCTCTCCATCCCTTCTTCTCTGCCTGTCTGTGAGCCTGAGGAGAAACCCGTCCATAATGACAGGGCAAGCAAAACCAGGATGTTTCTCTTTCTCTCATTCTACCACCATTTCTTTTGTCTCTCTGCTGTATGCAAGAGTTTCTCTTTTATCTCCTTTTCCTGCGCTCCCCCCCCCCTTATTCCTCCCTTTTGGTATGAATGCCAAAGAAACGGCAAGCTTTGAAGACAGAAATATTTTTATATGATGACCCCCCCCCCAAAACCCCACACTCACCCCCTACATTTAGCACAATCAGATTTAAATTGCTTTACTGGTCTGGTGTTCCAGCTCTGTTAAACCACTCATGACAACAGTGACTGCCAACATGTCAACAATAGTCTCCCTCTCTCTGCCTCTCCCTCATTTTTCTATCGCCCCAAACCACACTATTGTAGTTTTTCCATGACTTATTCCCTCTCATGACTTGTTTTCTTTATGTTCCCTGTATGCCCTCATTTAGTCTTTTTCTGTGTTTATTTGTGGGTCACCCAACCACATATGTCTACGTGTTAAAACCCTTTGATAACGACCAAAAACCTCCTACACGTCGTGTGAGCGGAACACAAATACTTCATATAAACCGCTGAAATTGACTGTAAATGCTCCTGAAAATTGCTTCACCTGTAAGACAGATGCTGATGTGTGTGTTTGTGTGTGTTTTTCAGGCATGTGCCCCTCTGTGGTCTCAAGAGTGTGGTACGTCTATGTTCAGCACGGGCATCTGTGCCTCTGTCAGCGATGACCTAGAACCGAGACAGACCATCGCTCCAACAGCGCAAAGTAAGCACACATTTGCACACACGCACACACATTGAGGCAGAGCAACATGCTGCACAGGCCTGTTTTAGCTAACCAATTATTTTTTATAAACATGTGGCAGGGTGCTCCACATACATGGACATCGTGATCGTGCTGGATGGCTCCAACAGTATCTGGCCCTGGTACGAGGTCCAGAACTTCCTCAGCAACATCCTCAGCAAGTTCCACATCAGCTCGGACCAGATGCAGGTAAAAGTGCAAGTTGATGTGTGTTTGCACTGCCTATAAATATTATTTACATTGGTAATGGAAACTTGCGGCTTTGAATTTGACTGAGACTCCCACTTAAACCTCTCGAACCCCGTAACTGTTGCCTAGAACAGTAAGGCAAGCTAGTCCCTTGAGTGAAAACATACATGGAGTGACACATATAAAGAACCAGTTTGGCAAAATATGACCAGAATGAATTGCTTTAGTAATGTAAAGGGACGTGAGCCGAGCTAGCTTGTGGTTGGAGAGGAATGGAAGTTGGAGAGGGGGTCTGGGGACATTATTCTGAGCTAAACAACAAGAGGAGTGAGAGGGGAGGTTTGGGTTTTGAAAAGGGAGGGCGGGGGGTAAGGGGTAGCAGGCAATGTGAGGTGAAGAGGAAATACCTCTGGTTTTTGAATGAATTCAAAAATTCCCCAAGTGCACTGTTTGCTTTAAGAACAGGATTGGTACTTAAAGAGATAGCTCACCCCAGAAACAAGAGTCTCAGATGTTGCTTTCCACAAATATGTACCAGCACAACCATGAACATGTGGCATTGTTGAAATACGTGTGTGTTTGTGTGTGTGTGTGTGTGTGTGTGTGTGTATATGTGCGTGCATTCAGGTTGGTATACTGCAGTATGGTGAGGTAGCGGTCCACGAGTGGTCTCTGAAGGACTACCAGACCACACAGGAAGTAGTAGAGGCCGCCAAGAACATCAGCAGACAGGAGGGACGAGAGACGCGCACTGCATACGCCATCCACATGGCCTGGTAGGCCTGTCCATCACTACACTACATACTTTACTCTTACTGGCTGACGTTCTTTGCACTCGAACATACTGTAGATTTGGCTGGCCAACTGGAAACTGTCTGACTGTTTAGAGTTTGGTAGAACATTCTTTGGGGTTTTCTCTAAATATATTACTCTATAATTTGTAGTTATAATGGCAATCAGGTGTATTTTCTTTTTGTCTGTTCTTCTTTCTAATGATATACTCCAGTATGATTCCATCAGGCTGCTTTTGATTTATGGCTTACCAAGCTATCAGATTAAACAGTTTAACATGGGGTACTCTAATCAATATTTTGATTTTAACAATGGATCAAATGACTATGTGTAATGTGAAAGGAATCACTCATAGTGACAAACACACATATTTAGGATAAATCCTCAACTCTATTCAGTGTTTTAGCATCTTCAAGGTCATAGTTTTGGTTTTATGGCCTGAAAAGTTACTTTTTTTATTTTTTCTCAGTGCTCCAATTAAATATGTTTCCAGAAACTGTTTTTTACTTAAAAAAAGCTTGGATGTATCCATTATACGCCACTTGCGCAGTATCAAACAGCAGACAAAGTCTCCTTTCCTGTTAGGTGGCCCATCCCAGGGAGCCCCGACCAGCATCCTTCAGGAGTGACAAAGTCATATGTCATCAAGACATCATCGCACACAACCTCTTTTTGTTATGACAGTTGATCTGTTTCTCTGTTAGTCTTTAAACACACACTTACGATTTCTCTCTGTGTGATTCATGTTGTAACACAGAGAAGCCAAACAGAGCTTCCTCTGGACCGGTGAAGATGCGCGGATTCTTTACATCTATGTTGAAACACTCCCACACCAACAGAAGAGATTGGTACACAGATGACAAAGTAAAGAAAAGACAACAAGTTTTACATTTTTTAAAAATTGGCATTCCTTTAACTACAAACTTACACTGTCCAGTCAAACTTTGTTCAGACCATTGACAGGATATATAAAGGAGTTTCTAGGTCTGTGAAGTGAAGCCAACCGATACCATGCAGTCTTATGGAGAAATGACCTGACTTCTCACTTGATTTATTAGCTTAGTAAATGGTTTCCTAACAAGTTTATGGTCTCAATCACTTGTTTCAAGTCTTCTTCTATACAGTATGATGTAGTAAATTATGGTCCAATTTAGAGTAAAATAGACAGCAAAGCAGGGTATGCTTTTGGGTGAGGCTACCTTGTGACTCACAAGTCATTCTCAGTGAGTCTGTCCAGCTCACCACACATCAAATTGTGAAACTAGGCAGAGCTGACACATATGAATCAAGCTTCTGTTAGTTTGTTGCCTATTTCTTACCTAAAATTGTTTTAGAAACATATTTTAGTGTACTGTTTATCTGTAATATGAGATTATGTGTGACCTGGCGAACTACTACGGATAAGTCAAAACTGCGCAGCCAGTTAGTGTAGCTCAACTCACAGTACATCACATCCGCTGGCTCTGACAAACTGTCATGGTGATGACCATAATGACAAACTCAAGGCTTCAAAACAGCTTCAGAAACACAATAGGTTCACACTTGGTTCAGACCCAAAGAAATTTTAATTCTAGTTAAAGTTTCCAAAGATATGCAATTTTGAGGAAATGATTCATAAGACATCCATAATATTTCCATTTGATTAAATGGTGCAGCCATGAAAGATGTGGAGTCTCGGGCTTCAATATTACATTCAGTGTAAATATAGCCTAACATCTCAAAGCTCAAATGAAGAGTTGGAACATGCTTGTACAGAATAAAGACGTGATACTATCAGACAGTGTGGAACAAGATCATTTTTCCAACTTTTTGCCTTCTTGCCAAGAGTTCCATGGGACGATTGATATCTCTCTCATATCTATCTGTTAAATATGAAGCTACAGACAGCCGCCAGCTAACTTAAATTAGCATAAAGACCGGATACAGTGGGAGAACTATCCTGGCTCTGTCCAAAACTAACAAAATCTGCCTACCAGCACATCCAACGTATCACAAATCAACACGTTATATCTCGTTTGTTCAATCCATACAAAAACAGAAGTATAAAAATAACCAATTACAGGGGTTACGTGCAAGACTACTTTTTAGTATTTACTGTATCAATCTTCTCATCTAACTGTTGGCAAGAACGGAAATAATAATGTCAAACTTTTGCTTTAAAGGTGTTAAGAATATGAGTTTAAATAAATCATATATTTATCAGCCATTAAAATGAGTGAAAAACATGTCGGAGCTGGAAAACTGTGTGTACAGAACTGTAAACTATCTGATTATTATTTTCCCTCCTGGCCTTGGGAGAGGGGATTGGGGGTGTAGGAGAAAGGGGGGCTGAAAAAGATGGATAAACAGAGTGACCAAAGGCAACCTCTGAGGAAAAAGGGAGTTCAGTCTGAGGGGAAAGAGGCAGAGTAGAGGGGAGAGAAGAGGCAAGGCAGGGAAGGGTGTGGGTTAGAAAAACTATGGAGTATAGTAAGCCCCCTGTTATGACACACAAGTCTACCCTTCATACAACGAGAGAGAGGTGAAGGAGACACAGAGAAGACAGAGAGCAACAAGATGGTAGTCAGACAGTTCACTGAGTTGTGAACATTTAGGTGCAAACAGGAGCATGAAAACATGTTCCAACTGGCAAAATGAAAGACACACATCTAATTTTTTGTTTCAGTCTGAAATGGAAAGTCTAAATATGTTTGCCCAACACCAGAAAAAATATATAACGGAAGATTAATGCACACCTACATAGATTAAGTCTTTCCTGTTATTTTAGTCAGAGTGAAACTGAATGAACAACTGAAAAAAGAGTTTACTTGTGACCTTTAAGAATTCAAAATAAATACGAATTTAAGATTAAAGACTCATTAGCAACACAGCAACATCACATTAAATTGTGATTTAAAAAAAAGTACCTCTCTATACATACCAGATATACAATACATCTCTAATTTTGTATAATAGTTCTTACCGAATAACATATTTACTTTTAATGACGTTTAGCAGGTATTGTGTACCATGTATACTGTCTTAGTTTACCGTGTTAGCATGCTACCACAAAGTACAGCCAATTATTGGTAGAACTGGATAAAAAGACACCAATTTTCATGGCAATGAATCCAAAAGTTGTTGAGTTATTTCACTTAAAACCCACAAATATCAACCTCAAAGTGGTCAAACTGTACAGACAGACAATGCCATGGAGCCTTCCTGATAACAGCATGGCTAAAAAAGTTTCCAAGCAAAATATAAATGACCATGAATAAAACATTAATGTAGATTGGTACCAGCTGCTTCATTCCTGCGTCACAATCGCTCGTTTGGCTATCAGACGAGTAACGTCATGCAGGTGTCGCTATAACTCGGCTGATGCGCTCATACCAAGGTTGTTTGCTGTTTGCCTCCATCATCCCATCCTCCTTTTATGAGCTAAGCTTTGGTATATTGTATTGTGGCTGACAGGAAATAAACTTGCCTCGCTACTTTCTATAGATGCACAGTTTTACTTCAATTAAAGGACATTATTATGTAGTATTTTCAGTTCAGTCTCAGAAACACTATGTTACTCTTGACAGTTAGTATTTAACTTGTCCCACTTCTACTGAATGTTGTTTGTATCCTTGAAAACCAGGGTGTGTTGGATGTGTTTTGTTAAAATAAATTTGACTTGACATGTCATTTAGCAGCATCCGGAGGCATTTACAGTAACGCTCCTACTGTACATAACTCAGTGATTCCACTGGAGAAAAAGTAGTCCAGGATGGGGAACAAGACCAGAATACTGCTGCTGTGATTATACACCAGCTACACACACACTTGTATACAGATACTTCCCCACAAATACACACTGACACACACAGACAGTTACCTCGGTCAGGCCAATCAGAGGGGGATTCCACTTGGTCTTGAGAAGGAAACTAGATATGTTCACTGTTTCTCTTCCATCTCTGCTCCTTGCTTTCTCACATACTGTAGTTTCTTCTACCTGCTCTTTAATTTTCTCTTTTCACGCAGATGTTTTTTGCTGTAATGTCACCGAAATTTCCAGTCAAGTTTCTTTCTTTCTCTTGTACCCAGATTTACTCACTGGACGTTTATAGGTATGGGTTTTTATAGCCATGCTAGCAGCATGGCTCTAGGAATGGCAATGTCGTTCTGTCGCTCCATACCCCATTTTGGTCCAGATTGAAATATCATGAGAAATATCTGATGTATTGTCATAAGGTTTTGTACAGACTTTCCTGCTGACTTTTCCTCTATTGCAACCAGCAGGTAAAAGTTTGCTGTAGTCCGGCTGTATAGCTAAACATCTACTCAGTAGTACATACTACACACATTTGTGTTCCTGAAGTTGATGAGATGTTCTAACCTTTGTGATCCCATAACTTTTTTATCTTGATCAGGTAAAACATGTAATTTGTCTAATTATGAACAAATACCACCACAAAACTAACGACAATCGCATTTGCCTCTTTTGTGCTTTTTGATAATAAGCAAATGTTAGCATGCTAACGTGCTAAATTAAGGTGTTAAACATGTTAAACACAATATCGTCATTGTGAGCACATTATCATGAACTCAAAACACCGCTGAGCTACACAGAGCTGCTAGTGTAGCTCTATCTTGTTTTTGCTCGTCTTGCAGATGTGTGTGAGCTTCCAACATTTCTACATCCAAACCTCCAGTGACTTGAAATTCAGCCATCTGAGTCTACACAGATGTTTAATGCACTTCACCAATGGGAATATGCGTAGGCAATGATAGAGTAATTCTTTAATACTGAACCTTCTGCTTTTATGGACAGAATGTAGAAAAATCTTTCTATCCAGCCTTGTTCCAGCAAGTTATTCTCCCACCGCCCCTCTTACACACAGTGCAGTAAAATGTTTCTGTCTTTTCTTGTGGCAACATCACCCGCCCTCTCCGGTTCCAAATTTCTTTCCGCAACAAACCAGGCCTCTGATAACAGTCCCTGCTACTGATTTTCTCCTTCATCCTTCTAGTTCACTCATTCTCTCATAAACCATAAATTGCTTCTTTCTTTTACCTCCCTCTCCTATAACACACAAACACACACACACACACACACACACACACACATTGTAACTCCACCACAAGGCCCCCTCTCCATTCCCAACCCCTCAGACTCCCACAAAACTGTACCATCGTTCCCCTGTGTTCCCTGTCCTGTCCTCCCTCCTCTGGTTCTATTTTCATTGGGGTTTATATATGACACTGTACCGCAGCCCGTCTGACCACCCATCACCATGACAACTAGCTACAAACATTTATCATGCCAAACTGGGTCCAGATTCTCTCAACCACACGTTCGGCTCTGGGCGCTACTGCTGCTGGATGTGTATGGTTGCGATTGTGTAGTATGTGTGTGTGCACATGTTGAAGAACAGCAACTGAACTTGACACTACAAAGTTTTGGATACTACAGAGACATGCCAGCACTTACAGCAGTATGCAGAGACATTGATGTATGTTGTTTTTAATTAGACTAACATATGTAAGTTTCCCTTTCTCCTTGTCTGTTTCTCTGTCTTTAATTTACATCCCTGACTTATAGCACTTGTGTGAAATTACCTGCAGGAGAGATGTCTGCTCGACTGTCTGTTTCTATCATCTTTATTAAACTGACTCATAATGTTTCCCATGCATCCCCCTCCTTCGACTCCTCTCACCCTCTTTCACAGATTTTCTCTCCATTATCTCCATCGTGTTCTGTTCTCATCTCTGTCACCCTCTCGTGGGGAATGGGGGTGGAAGAAGAGGGGGAGTAGGAATGAAAGGCCGGGAATGATGGGAGAGTAAAAAAAAAACAACACAAGAAGATAGCTGGGAGAATAATAGTGCAAATTTATGAATGACTGGTGAAACACACGCACACACACCTGTGTTCGACATCTCAGTAAAAGCATAACAGAGTGTTACAGGCATGGGATGCCTGCTGCTTGCATCAGGGGAGCTCTGCTGAAACCATTAACATTACACACATACTCACTCACCTATATGCTCATGTATGACACATGCACAAGCTAGCAAACTCACACACGCAAGAGCACTTACACTAAGGTCACATAAGCTACCGTACAAATTAAATCCAGTTTACACATTAAAAAACGGGGGGAATTATGCCGTAAAGGTTTGCTTTAAACGGATAATGGAGGGCAATGTGTAAAACCTAACCACATGCAACATTTGGCTGCTGGCATGTGTAAAAAGGTGTGTGCGTGTGTATAAGTTTGTGGTGTGAATGACCATGATGCTGGATACATGCCTCATTCACTCTTCTGCTTCTGGATGAGAAGCGTTTTGCATAGCATGAAAACCGGCTGCATGGATAATCATTCTTCAGTCAACATGTTCAAAGTTGGCAACATCTCATTAAATACATTAACTTAAGAGACTGTGTGTGATTGTGTGTGTGTGTGTGTGTGTGTGATTCAGAGCATGTACAAAGTTAACATGCCTCACACAGAATAATATCTCAGTCTCTCCTTTTTCTTCACGGCCACCTGCTATAATGCAGTAGTTAAACCGCTGCTTATCAGCTACATAAACACTCATTTTTGGTAGACAACAATGGTCTTTTTCTTTGGTTTCTTGCTGGTGAGCAGGAATGGCCCAATGAGGTGTGTGAGGCTGCTCTGCCACAGCGAACATGAGTACACGAGGGAAGCTGATGTTCATGCTCCATGGAGAAAACGCACATGGCACAGGCGCCTTATTAGGGGACTTTAGACATCAAGTCTAAGCGATGGGAATGGCTGATATGGCCGTTGAGGTTGAGTTACACAGCTGCCAGGGTCAGAAGGTGTCAGCTGTAAGAGGAGATGAACCAGTAACCTTTTGGCAGAGGATGCATACAAGTATCTCTGATTGCTCCAAACATCTTCTGGTAGCTGGAGGCCTCCAATGAAAGTTAAATATCTCCTCTGTACTGACAAAACTGATAGATTTACTGATACATCTGACTTTGAACCAAGAACGATTACTTTACTGGACTCATGCGCAACTTCCTATACCTTTGATGTATTTGGCAAATGGAGTGTGGCCATATGTTTTAATATGCCTGCTTCTCTACTCTCCTGCACACAGTCATGTTATGAATGTCTTCATGGTCAGTCGCTTACTGTCACACAGAATAAAGCTCTTTGGGACTCAGGGAGGCACGTGTGACGTAATTATTCACACATGTTGTCTGTTAAAGTTCAAAAGTTTTGGAGGTTAATGACCATATCACCCGGTAAGGCTGTGCTGGAGGACAGGAGAGCAACTGGGAAGTCAAGAGGCATCAATCATGGACAAGAGATTGACTTTACATCGTCCTCCAATTCAGCTTTAGGAGCTGTGATTGCATAATCCCCCCCTTCAGACTCCTTAAGTGGTGTCATCTTATTTTTAAAACAATCAAACAAAAGTTGTGTGAAACAAAAGTTAAACTTGACTTATAAACCCACATATAACCCAAAAAGAGACAGTAGTTCTTACCTTTAAGAAGGAGGATGAACTCCAGGCACAACAGGTATTTACGCAGCTCCATTTATAAAACAGAACGAAAGCAGAGTCTCTCGTCTATTTCCCCCACCTTTTCTCTTTTTTTCCTGTTTACAAAGTGGTCTTCCCTGAGCTGTTGGAAATGTAGTGCATCGGCGTCCACCACACACACATAAACACATGCGCTTTTCAGCCCTCTCTTTCCCCAAGGGATGCGTAAAATCCAGTCAAACTGTGCTGCTGTGGCATGGCTGCGTGTGGCAGCCTCAATTCAGTACGTTTACAAAAGCAGTCACGAGTTGTTAAATATAGATTTAAATAAACTAAATCTACTCGACACCAGAATTATTGTCCGTGATTTTGGCGCTTTTAAGTCCCTGTAGGAGTATTTGAGTGGCACCACAGGAGAAGGTTATATAGCAGTGCATAGAAGGGTATTTAGGTTAAAGAAAACGACTTAATTGACACCTCAGTGACCCATGTTTTGAGCGTGAAAATCCTGCACCTGTCCCATCCAACAAGAGGCCGCAGTCCAGAGTCATTAAACCATTACTAATGTGTAACACCTTCCCCAAACAGTCAGTGAGCAGAGCGCTTTATCCCTCCTGACTCCGGAGCGCGTCTTTGAAGCTTAAGCTCTCCCGCTGACACAAACTCCGCTCATCAAGCCAAAAGTTTGAGGTGAGTTGCGCACGGTTCCTCTGATAACTTGTTATCCATGATCCTCTGTGCTGATTTCCCCCACATTGACGACGAAACGCTTGTCTCCCGCGAGTTTCTGTCGATGCAAATATGTGCCTCTAGTAACGGATTTCTCTCACTTTGAAATGAAAGAGCGCATTTATCCTCAGAGCTCCCCTCCCTCCATCCGTCCTCCTTCATCCACCAGACTCCTCTCTGAGCAACTGGTTCACATTGACAAACCTCAAACCCACATCTCTCTCTCCCTCTCTCTCTCTCTCTCTCTTTTTTTTTAAACATACTCTGACTCTCAAAATCTTTCAGTTTGCTCACCTCTGACTTACTTCTTTCTTTCTTTTGAGCTGCCCTCACAGGTAAGAGCAATCTACCACTTTCTAATAGGAAACCATGAGCAAAAGTTCAGTCTACAGTATAAATGTTAATAAATCATTAATAACGAGTTTTTTACAACAATCCATCAAGTTTAATTTTAGTTCATTTAGTTAGTGTCCTGTTGCTCTTTTTCTAGAAGTGATCAAACAGGAAGGGTGCTGAGGAGATAAAAAGACAAATTAAGTGTCATAATGGAGGAGGATTTTCCACAACCTGGCAACCCAAACGTTGTACTTATATATATAGCATTGGTAAAATGAATGAATGAGGTGCCAGAAAGCAGTATCAGCCTTTTATTTAAATTATTCAAATAAATAATAAAGGGAATGGGGACAGGCCTGAATACTTGACCCCCCACAGTGGCTCTGTTATGGGGGGGCATTTTCCTGCCATGGTTTGGGTCCACTGACTATAGTCAAACACATGTCTAACCAATAACATAAATAAATACTGCATTCTATTGCAATAATTGCTGGAAAGGAGCTATTGTTAATCTTCACGTTTCACTTGTGCTTTTCCTACTAGGACAGGTCAAAATGTCTGCTGTGGAAAAGGTCATTGGATCTCATTCATGTGGGAATGATAAAAGAAACTCACGCCCTGATACTGGCAAGGCTATTAAGATTCAGGTTGTACAAGATTGACAAATTTGTGACAGAGAATAAAGAAAAAACGTAAATGTATTTTTCATTTTCACGACAGGAACTAATGAGACACATTTCCTAAAATAAATATGAGATTCATGTTCTTCCTAATGTGATTTTTTTTAACCAGTTATTTCAAGTGATCACCTTATGAAACATTTCTATTCAGGCATCTCTTCCAGGATGCTCCCATCTACAGGGTTTGAGGGGTCACTGAATGGAAGAGTGGTATAAAAGAGCATGAAGTGCTGTGCATGGGTGCAATAAAGTGAGCTGTGCAAAATTATATCCCTGGTTATCATATATTTAATCATATGATAATGACTCTGAATTAATTGGTCAGAGATGTATATGAACTGTATAAACTTGAATGGTGAGAGAGTGAATGGCTATATTGCTGGACCACAACAATTGCATATCTTCAACTTAAACTCATCCTCAAATTAACAATTCATTGATCTGTTTTTAGATTTAGTTTGGAAGATCTAAGAGGATTATATCATCTGAAAGTGGCTGGAAGTCTGTCCTATTGTGTTGGCAAGAAACAATGAAATCAGCAGCTTTCATTCAGTCAAATGTTTTAGATTTTACATGTTTTAGCTCAGGGTTATGGTTATTTTCTAGGTTGGTTTGAGGGCCCCCAGGTAGTTGGAAGTTAAACTGAAATCAAATTTAGTGATCCCAACCATGTTTAAAATGTATTGTTAATAGTTTTTCATTATTAAAAGGAAGGAAAACGGAGTCTTTGGGTAAATAATGAATAGAACTTCAAACACTGGCTCCTCTGTCCTGTATATTCTGGTAAAGCTCTTTGGCGCCACTGTCAGGCCTCTACAGTTATTCCTCCACATGAACACAGTGGCAGGAGATAGAAAGTGCAATTACTATTCAAGTATTGTACTTTGAATGTTTTTATTTTATAGGACTCTGTGTGATTCATATTATCCTCCCAGTCCCGATCCAGGGCAGTGTTGGCTATAAGAGTCGTCCCCCGGTACTCAGGACCCCCACCAGTGGTCGCAAAACTTCACAGGTCGTCGCAAAGCACTCTTGATTTGAAGGGGTATATGAGCCTATATTGCCTATATTTGAGCATTTCGTTCATCTCTGTGAAGAAAACTAAATGAAATTGTTAGTTTTAGTTTGGATTATTCAAGATATAAACTTTGAAGACCTGAACACACATGCTATATTCACAGAGCTCACTGTCTGATAAACAATATATTGTGATATGATAAGCCTCATCCTGCAAAACAACCAAAGAGCTAATAAAACAATGAGTAGAAAACGCTAGATTTGTCAAAAAAATAAGCTCATTAGGTATGTATGATTGCTGAAAGATTTAAAAAGATATAATACAGAAAAATAACTGTATAAAAATATCAGGAAAACTTATTTCTTATCAATAGTCACAGGTAAATCTCCTCCTGCAGTTAGTGTGTTCACTAGTGTTACTGTTAATATGAAACACCCATATAATACTGTCACTGAATCAGGGGTCATCGGTTTACAACAATAGGGGAGAAAAGGGGTCCGTTGAGGAAAAAGGTTGGGAACCACTGGGCTATGAGACTAGAGGGTATAATGTTATTGAAAATACCAACTTTGCCTTATTATGATAAAAGCCACACAGCAACTGTCTATGAACCAGCATCAATATTGTTGCAAAATAACGCCCTAGTTGTGGCAGTGTCGCTCAGAATCACTCCAATATTTCATCGAGGAAGAAATTCTGTGCCATCTTGGATTTAACGGTGGTTCAACAAATGACCCCTCTTCCATTTGTGTTACTTTACACCCACCTGCCATTAATGTTTTCCCCAACCCAATCAGTCACCAATAAGACTGTCTTCCTTTCCCTGAGCTCGCATTTACATCATTATCCCCACATTGAATTAAATTAATACCCAAATGACTCAAATGTTCGGTTTCCAGCGGTAACGGTAGCCGTTTAAGACCGTTGGTTAGCTCCCCTCCCTTTATGTTATGCTTTCCCAGCAGGTGAGTGACAGGTGGAGGGAAACATTTATTTATTATTTTATTTTCAAGACCAAACAGGGGTTAAAACATCTGGTTATATTTGATTTAAATTCCTCAGGTGGCCAGAAAGATGATTCAAAGACGGTGACCAAGTTTCCCCAGTTTGTGTTACGTGTGGAGGTAAGAAGAAGGCAATAACTTTTAATTATAAACTAACGTTAAATGCTAAGTGCTGTTAGTGTGCCTCTTCTGACCCCTAGTGGACAAACATCGTAAAACCAGGGAATAACTTCTAGGTGAGATGTAAACTAAAGCCCTGAAAAAACATGAAAAAGATACAGGAATACACCATATTACTACTTTAGTGGGTATTCTTGGCCCCCTTCTTAATTTCCAGCTCACAAACTCATCCTCTGAGGTCTTCTGGGTCACAACACTAATAGGCCTGCACTAGAAAGATACTCATAGAGACACTGAAGGGAAGTAGCAGTAGTAGTAGTAGGAAGTAATTTCTGAGACTTCAGACATTTTGTATTCAAGATTTGCATCTCTGCTTTTGACTTTTGGTAAATAAAAATAAAAATAAAATAGGTCAAAGATCCAGTCTTCTGCACACTGTATGTATACAAACCATTTTTTTGTGCATTTATTCCAGTGTAACTTGCACAGGCTCATATCTGCTGCAGAGAGATATACCTTTCTTTATCATTTGCTCAAGTTAAGAATTGCATTCATTTGGAGTTTCAACGTCATAAATCCTGTCCCGATTGTGCTTGTGGTATGCCTGTTGATTGGGAAATCTGCTCACACAGTGCAGGAGTATATAGTTTGGACTGGATCTGTATTGAATGATGGAAAATTATGAACTGGGGTAGCTGGAGGCCCTTTTGAAAGGTTTTGTATTGTATTTTTATAAGAAAGTATTTCAGCTGGAAAGAGTGGTATGTAAGAGTTTTCAACATGATCTATAAACACTCTTCTCACAGTGCTAATAAAGCACTGCATCAGCAAAACATTTGGGGATATAATTGTTGAAAGAAATTCACAAAGTAAAGCTGCTGAAGTCTGAAGTAACAAGCAAAATTTAAAGAGATTTTGTCACATTTTTTGCCTTAAACTCTGAGGTTCAGCCACAGAGCTTTTTGATATTGTGCTTACAAAATGTGGTGTAATTTCTTCCGGTAAGATGTACTGCTGTATTGGCTGCTACTGAAACAAATTTCACTTGTCACCACTTGGTGGCGGTCTGTTTCAACTAATGTATTTTCTAACCTGGCTGAACTGCCTCATGGTGCGCTTGAATATAGTAACAGCTGGTCAAAACTGGTGGTTTTTCCTTCTATAGCTAATTGTGAAAGATCATCCGAGGCCAGTTTGTCTTTGTCTGATTGTCAGGGCTATGACTCATGATGGTCAGCTGATATTGTGCTGAATTCCTCCTTTCACATTTGTAGTAATTTGCTGAATGTCTTATTCTGTCTCTTGCAAATCAGCTTTCCCAGTCGAGACTCATCATGTGGTGATGGATTTCTGCCAGAACTGGGGCAGGAGAGTGCAATGGATTTGGAGAGTAAACTCGTAAGTGGCCAACACATCTTGAAAATGATAAGAACTTCATTAGCATTGATTTATGAATGTAGTGGGGGAGAAGATAATGATTATTAGATCATTTACCTCTCTCTCTCCATCATTGCTCTTACAGTTACTGCCTAATTGACATTGGTCTCCATCAGTGTCCTTGTCTTTATTGCCTTCCTGTTCTTCTCATCTCATATCCCCTTCATCGCAACAGCAGTGGATCTAATGGGAAGCATTATTTTAATGCTATAGTCCCATGATAACAATATACAACGATTTAAAGAATAAATACTCACACCAAGAGACACTTTTTCCCTTTGCAATGACGCACATTAACATTTTTTGGCAGGTGGCTGTTACTGTAACTCGACTGGCAGCATAGTTAAGCTGACTGGCAGCCATATGTAAAGTCAGATGCGCGAGCTCACATGCAACCAAACCTCATTGTACACAACCACAGATTCCTGCACAGAGGTGGAACTGGAGTGAGAGCCAAAACACACACACATACACACACACGTACAGACTGTTTCACACCAGTGGGAACTATGCAGGAACCCATTAACGTCAGGCATAAAATCGAATTTTGCAGAGTCATGCTGCTG